GCCACCACAAGCACAGTGCAGAAGATGTGTTAAGGTTGGGGTTTTTTCTTTTGTCTCATGCACTTTCCAATTCAAAGCAAAATTCAGCAATCTTTTTGACTTGCCACAATTGGCTCCTGCCCACGCATCTAATAACATAGTTATACAAGAAAAGACTCTTCTGAAAATGCCTTGTATTTCCCAAAATACAAAAAACTCCAGCCCCACTTCTGGAGTCTGTAGCATCATCATCAGCAATGCCAGTACCTGGGGACATGGGCAGCATTTGCCCAAGCCAGAAAAGCCAGTGACACTTACCCATGTCACGGTACAGTGCCTCTATCCTTCAGGGCAAAGCAGCATCCCCCAGAGATGAGTGAAAAACTACTTACATTGCACACAAGCAGTAACACCCTGTGCAGACAGTAATAGCTACAGATAAAATCCCCTCTCCTGCTACCACTTTCCAAGCAGAGCATTTTGCGTTACAGCTGGCTTATCTGTTCTCAGAGAATTGATAATTTGCTAAAAATGGTCTTTCAGCTATTCCTAGAACATTGAGAAAATATTAGTGTATTGGCAGAATATACTGTGGGGCTACGCTGCCTCTCGGGTGTTAAAACCTGCAGCCCAGTGCTTTTGCTTCTGCACATACCCACAGCATGAGACTTGTTAAAGCAAGAAGGGATGGCTGAGCGAAGCCAGCTGAAGGCACCATTTTCCTCCCCCGGCTTGGGACTTCTGCAGCCCAGAGGCTGGTGGCATAACCCCTTCCCAACCAGGATGTGCAGAACCAGGAGCAACGCCGACACGAAGAAACTTCTCCTTTGCCCCTACTGCTGTGACAGCTGCCTTGCTAATGGGGCACTACACCAGGCGACTTCCACCTCAGGCCTCATGCTCCAGCATCCACTTCCCCGATGCACTGTTAGCATATGGCGTGGCAGCTTGTGAATAAAAAGCAGTAATGGGTTAAAACTCTGCTACGAGGTGGCGTTGGAGACAAATTTGTAGTTCCTAGCTTTATATTAAAAATTGAGAACAAATGCATATGAAAACGTGGTAAGGCTGTAAATGCACCTGAAAAAGTCCCACTGATGGAGCAACGGGCCAAGGAGTATGCTTAGATCCAAATGCCGTGCAGATGAATGGCTGGGTGGAGCCTGTTTCTAAAATGCTTTGGAATTACTTCTAAGACTTTGTAGGTTGGCAATTTTGGGTTTGCTAATCTGTCCACTGAGCAAGGTTTTCTTAGGCAAAGTGAATTTTTCGCTCTGTTCCACTGAGGTCTGAAATGCACTGGTATTCTGCAGAAGCAAAAATCATCGCTATTTACTACCCATCTAAGAGATACAAACAAATTTGTTTCATGTAAAATAACTAGTTTAAGTTAGAATGGTATTTCTATTTCTTTGTTGCATCTGGCAAAGTAAATGCAAACAGGCGTGCTAACAGAACAACGGGGAGTTGCCTGCACATAGTTCAGGACAAGGTGTTTTGGCCTGAATGAAGTAATTAAAAGTTATACCCAAAAGTGGTACAGAAAACTGCAGTTATTGGGTTGCATTTGGCACTAGTGGGCACAGAAAATCCTGTCTCTTCTGCTGTTTTTTCTTTTGCCTAAAAGTTGAACTCCATTTCATCCTTAACTAATTGCTATCATTCCTGCTTTTTTCTGATCCCTCAACAGCCTAAAACAATTACACTTGCATAGAACAGTACATCTCTTTCATTAACCCACTCAGGAAAGCCATAAAGATCCAATTACAAAGAAGTGTGGAGACAGTAAAAGAACTACCTTCTGGCATGCCTTGAAAGGTAACACAGAGTGCTAAACTTTTCAACAAAAAATAAAGGAGAATGTTTTAATCTACTTGTTTTAAAAATGCAAATGTCTTCAAATCAGCTGGCTAGTTCAGTTTGCAGACTGAGTATGCCTCAGATAACCAGAACTCAACATGATGAAAAAAATGAGGCAATTGAAGCAATTGTTGAAAAGGGAGTTGAGAAAGTAAGTTTTGAGCTTTGCCACGGGCAAGATTCAGAGAAAGCTACCCTGATTCTGCTGGGAGGGTCTTGTATTATGATTTGAGAATTTGACTCATCTGTTACCAGGCTAAGGAATTTCCTCTAACCTCGCTCTTATCTTTGTGCATGCAAAAACCAGGAGTTCTCAACTTCAGCTGCCTCTGCTAGAGTACGCTCATTTTCATTGTATGTTCAATTTTTGTCCAAGCTAGCCTACAAACTTGTTTCGAACTCATTTTAGAAAGGAAAAAAATGTGCAATAGGAAGCAGTCTTTGGATACGCACAGTCACATTGCATGCCAAATCCAAGCGGAAGCAGATGGAGGAAAATTAATCCTCATGATCAGATCCACAATGTTCTTTAACATTTAACCTTTATGATATAAATAGGACAACATGTTTTAAGCTTTATTTGTCCTTTAACTGTTGAGACTGATCCAGACGAGATCTACTTTGCATCATTCACAAGCTCAAGGAACTGTATTTTGAATAAAATGCTAATAATTGCTTTTTCCCCTGGAGCTGCCTTTCTGTTTCACCAGAGAGGACACTGGTCCATCTTCCCCACAGGTGCACTCTCAGCACAGCAAGAGAGGGCATGCCAGAAAGTAAGTTACAGTCTTGTCTTCAGGTATTGGAAAGTAAATCCATCCATGTGAGTATGTTTAAGGTAGAATTCAGTATGTTTATTTGTAATAAACAGATCTGCCTATAGCACTAAACATGTTATATTGGCTTCTAAAATACATGCACCTTTAACTCTCTCCCCATTTTTCTCTTGGAACATAAGGAAACAAGAGTTTAAATCTGAACTTTACAGGCTGCTGAGAGGGTGAATTACTTGTTCTTCATTCTAAATTGCTCTTTTCAGTGTTATTTCTGAATTTCCTCCTTTATAAAGAATCAGGTCTCTGCTACTTTTAGAAAGGTATCTGAATAGCTCAAGGAACTGATAACATGGGCCTTTCTATCATCTCATCTTCCCTCAGACAGAACTTGGCACCGACCAGACAACAGCAGTTGCTATCTATCTCTGCAGCTGGAGGCGTGCTGGCCAGAACTTCAGATGTTACAGCCCGGAGAGGAATAATAGTTTACAGTTCAAGTCAGCTAATTCAGAAAAATCATCCAAGGACAGTTTGCATTCAAGTCATACCAGAGAATCGCTGGAACAGAGTAAATACTCAACCTAAGATTTTGATCATCAATGAGAACATTGCAGGTAGTTTTAGTATAGAACTACACTGCAGGCTAATGCAGAGTTTCCATTATTAGCTATCTATGCTAAATTAAAATACTCAGTCCTCAAAGCAGTTGTGAAATCACACAAATGACACTTAAATGTATGTTTATTGTATGTAATTATTTGTGGAAAAGAGCAGTTTTCCTTTGAAATTATCCATAACCTAGAAAAGACAAGACCTGAGCTGATGTGGAAACTTAGAACTGAGTCACTAGTAGTGGAAGGAAAACTATATGCGTAATACTTTTCCCCCTCTGACTGTCTAAATCCACATTGTGAAAACATAAAAGCAATTTCTGCAAAAGCTGATTTCTACTCTTTAAAGTTTTTCCTTCCTGGTACTTGGTTATATTAACAATTCCACCCCCAGATCTTTGATCTCACTAGTTGCCTATATTTTTTTGCAAGTGCTAGGAGGATTTTAAAATCAAGTTTTATAAAATAAAAATCCACAGTCACATTTATAAGTCTTATAAGAAAGTCTGCATTCAGAATTAGTATTTCTGTAACAAAAATAAAGGGGAAGCAGAATTGGAGAAAACCTAATAAAAAAAAGGAAGCCAGCTTTACAGGTGGAAATTACAGGTACAACATGCTACAGGTGTAACATACGGTTTCATTTTCTTCCAGTAACTTTAACTTCATTCTTAGAAAGTGGAAATTCTAGTCAGGTTCTTAAAATTAAGAAGAAAAGCCAGGATTACGGAATCCTCCCAGTCCTACCATTAATATAACCACATTAAATGTGGTTATAAAAGCCATATTTGATAAGATAGTTTAAGCCGTACCAGATATAATTATCAAGCCTTCCAACTCTAAAGTCATGCTGTGAAGTTTTTCGCTCATTTCTTCAACTTTTAGTAGTTAAAGAGGAAAACTCCCAGTTTAAGGACTAATACTGCCAAACACAAAGCAGATGCTGCTTCACATTATCACAAGTTATTAGAGCCTGACACTTGCTATTACTTCACGTAACAGGATTCTGGAAGTTGTAAGGGTAAGATCAATACTGTTATCAAACAGAAAACCAACTTGCAACTGAAATTTGTATTTAACATCTGCAGAAACAGAATAAGAATTTAAAAGCTCTACAGTCAGCTTCTCCTTACCTCTTCATTAAAAAGGCTGGACAGCATTTAAGACCTTTATATTAATTTAACAAAAACACTGTACAAAGCAATCAATTTTTACATTTCCAAAATACTTACTGCAAAGCGATCAAGAACGAAACTATTTCTCCTTTTAAAGCCATGTGATAGGCAACTCCCTTTAAAAATAAGAGGCTCCAGTAGCTGTATCAATTTTTTTTTTTGTTTCAACAGTTTTTGTTCCATATTAAGTGACAACAGCTGACCATTGCGAGTAGTCAGTTTTACTGAATGTAGCATGACTTCATTCATGTATTGGCCAAACAAACCTAGAATTCCAGCCAGTATCAGATCTTTTCCAATAAAGAAATTACAGAGTAGGTGAATGTATTTTATCTATACACATAATTTTTTATATATATGTGTATATATATTTATGACTGTATATGTATACATACACACACACATATAAAATTGCTCTAAGTATTGGACTGCTGCTTGTGTCTGTTGAAAGAAGTTTTCACCAACTTCCTTGATGCAAAAAAAAAAAAGGTCTCTGCCATTTCTGGCACTTATTAGACACGTGGAAGGTAAGCAAGTGACTACAGTTGTAAACAAGTATGAGAAAAAAGTCTTGTGCATTGGAATGATTTTCACCATGACTACTGTCCAAGAAACAAGGCCATGGGATCATCAGGTCTCTGACGTTTCATTCTGTAGGCTTCCATTTCCTCTTCTGTTGGCTCCCTGGTTTCATACATGCTGTTGTATGGTCTCTTCCTCTCATCTAACTGCATGACTTCTTTAACGTGGAGAAGACGAGCCTCTTCTGCATTTAGCGCCTGAAGTAAAAGCAAAGAAAAAAAGAAACTCCACAATGAAAGTTTGTACTAGATACAAATTGTTCATTATACAATGAACAAGCAGCAGGCAGAATGGTAGGATAAGCAATGCACATCTGTCTGGCCCACCTACAGCACTTCATTTAATGCTCATTTTTCAGTGTTTAACATAAAATGATGGTAAAATGGTATTTAGCAAACCAGATACTTTAATCTCTTTCCAATTTCCACAGTCAAGTAAGAAACTCCTCGGCTTTACCTAAAATGTAATCACGATCCAGCAAGTACAAAAGCAGATAAGCAAGCATGTGATCTTAGGGGTTTGGGTTGGTTTGTCGTATTCTGTGCCATTCCACTCCCCCCACTCCCCCCAGTGCTTGTCAGGAAGCATCTTTTTTTCAATGCTTTTTGAAATGCATGTTATCCCATTTCTCAAACTACATCTGTTGCTCCTTCTTGCTACTGAAAAGAAGTTGTATTTGTACAATGCTTTGATTAACCATAGTTTAACATTAGTTTCACACTCCGAATATCCAGAGGCAGGCTGCTGTGCTTGTGGAGGGGCTGTTCAGCAGCAGTCAGTAGGTAGCTTGGTGGATGGATTTACTGCATCAACTGTGAGACTGGGCCCAAGTCTGGGATAAAAAGTGCTAAGTTAAGCTTTGACAGTGCCTTTGATCTCTCCATCTTTTTTCAATACAAATCACTGTGTTCTGCAATGTCTTTTATAGATCTACAGCTGTAATAGGTGCCTAGACAGGAAGTGTTCTAAATCATCTAAACTAAGTCCTCCAGAACTAAGTATTTATTGCATGTGTGCCTGAGAAATAGGGAATGTACTTCAGAACATCTAACAACATTTTAAGTTTGCTTTAGCTCAAAATTAGCATCAAAGAACATCCCACAGAATACCACAAGAACTGCATTACAGACTTCATAAAACCAACATTGTAAAATATAGTTCAAGTTCTTTTTGCCAAAAATCCACTGGAGAATATAGTGCACCTTTTTAAGTTTTTCTTGCTTCTTTTTCTCTTCACCCTCACTATCTGAATTTGAGCTCTTCTTGTGCTTCTTCTTTTTCTTCTCTTTCTGTTTCTCTTGATGGATCTGTAAGGTGGAAAACCAGCTATTGTTAAGATTCAACTTGCAAACATTAGTAATGTTCAAGCCATTAAATCCCAAGGGTCTATTAATGCTATTTGAGAGCTTAGTTTTCAGTACAGATGTTAATGATCTAAAAACGCAGTTTAGTAATTTTCAGACTCGTTATGACTTACATAAATTTGTAGTTATACATATCTTTCCATCTCTTAAAATGCAGGGGAAAAATATCTGTCTTCCTGAGAAAGGGAAACAACCTACCTCCATCAGTGTTTTGGGTTTTGTCATGTGTTCTTCTTCCCTGGGCTGCTCTTCCAGTAAGCTTGCTTCAGTATTCTATACAATAGACAAGAGAAAGGATACCCATTTACTATGCACATTTGAAAGGGGAAGGACAAAAAAACCCAAACCAACCCACACAAGAAAAACCAAAAACCAAACATCCAAAATAAAAGCACAAGTCTAAAACTTAGGTAGGAAGATGAATGCTTTTTAGCTCTTTCCAAGTGACCACATAAGACAATACTTACAGCAATTTCTTTCCCAGCTTCTCCTGTACAGTATGAGTACTTGACAAATGAGTGGCAGCATTTGTAACCCCACTTGCCTTCTTTCCAATATGAACCCCAAATGCACTGCAAGAGAAGACACCACAGCAGTTACGTCCATAATGATACTCCCATTAGAGGCAGGCTGCAATTTATTCCCGAGGTTATATCCTGATAAGTAAATTACTCAAACAATCCAGAAGGGAAAGTTATGAGAAATACTTTTGCAGTTTTACATTAGCCTTACAGGTAGTTTCAAAAAAAGAGAAAAGCAACAGGATGTGGTCAACTCATATTCAAAGGCAAAGAGAAATGCAGTAACTGCCCCTTTAGTTTAAGATTGCCATCACAACTCCTCAAATTCACATTGCAACCATGACAATTTGAAACTCCTCCTTAGTAGAAAAGGGAGAGCGTCACATTTGAGACAGGAGAAATTTATTTGCTGTATTAATTATATTGTACTGTATCCTACCATACCTCATTCCCTTCCAATGGGAAGGAATCTAATTTTTTTATAATTTTAACATAAGCCAGGGCTTACTGTATGGTTGTTGATCTTTACATCCTCTTCATATTTAGAGCAAGCAATAGCTTTCTCTTGTCCTTTGATGACTGTTCCATGCCTAGAGTACTCCACGTAATCTTCTGTCTGAGCTAACAGCAGTTCAGCTGGTGGGGCATCTAGATGTTCTTGTCCTCCATACTAAAATGCAAATAGAAATGACATATAATAGTTTTGAAAAAAAACCCCACCTTTTATGTTTAACTACATATATTTCAAAAACGTCACCTTCAGTACTTTCTGAAGAAGACACAAAAAAATGGATGGAGACAGCTTAATCTTTAGTGAACAGTTAAAGAGAGAAATACATCTCCTCCTGTGGCCATTGTGGTGTTGTGGGTTTTTTGGGGGGGTGGGGTTGTTTTTTTCTGGTGTTTTTTTTTTTTTTTTTTCCTCCTTCTTTTTTGTTTTGTTCGGTTGGTTTTTTTTGGTTTTGGTTGGTTTGTTTGTTTTTTTTAAATGCCTGGAGGATTACTACAGTGGTATTCCTCAAGCAAAGCAGGAAAACTTTTCAGACCAAACGAAAAGGCTCTGGTATAACCAGAGCAGTACTTCCTGTCTCCCTCTAAACTTGAATGCTGACAAAGTTAGAATCTAAATGGGTTATTTAGTTCTTTGTCAGTTGTCCAAGAAACCAGTTGCAAAATATAAAATATTTATCTAGAAGACTGCACCCAAAACTCAAGTCTGAAAATTCTGCTTTTCACATTTCAGAGAAAAGAACAAGTTTAAAAATAATTTGGGGAGACAGCTACTTGGGTATTTTACAAAAGATACCACTTTTAAACAGTAAAAGAATTTTTTTTCAACAACTTGTATTATTAAAAAAAAAAAAAAAATCTAAATTCATACTCCTCCTACATACCGCTGTCAGATTTTTCACTGGAGAAATGCAGACAGTTACAGGAAGAGTTCCCAACAATCCAAAGAAATATCAGCAGATCTTCAAAGGTTCATATATTAAATAATGTAATGAATCCAATTGATGAGATAGTGTGTATAGATAGAAACATCTTTTTATAAATTTAAGCTGCTAGGAACAGCTGATGTGTTTTCACATAGCATTAGTAACCTTACTTGTTCCCCAAGACCCAGATTTCAAACTCCACAGAATTCTTATTAAATAAAACGAAATGTCTATTACCTTCTCTAGGATGCTTTCTTTCTGTTGTGCTTTGAAATCTTCTTTTTTCACTTTGAAGGATTTATAAAGTAGCTCTAATTTGGTAGGGTCTGCTTGAAGATGAACTTCAGAGCCTTTGTCATAAGCCTCCCAAGCAAACACTGTGTAGACAAGAGGTCTCACTCAATATTTATTCTTAAACTGACAGATGCATTCAAATTACAATCTTTAATTCTGTAGTAATTTGAAGGATAGCCTCAATCTAAAAAGATTTATTTCTCTTTTGCAAGAAAGCAGCATTGTTAACGTCTTTTAAGTCTATTTTCTTAAAAAAACCCCAAACAACAAACCAAAACCCACTTACACTGAGTCTGTGCCATTGAAATGGTATCTCCAGTGTAGCGAACAAAGTTGTCACCTGCGTAACCAACTCTGCAGAAAAGAATAATATGATTCTTAGCATTCAAGCAATGTGATTTCCTTTTAAATACAATCATAGAACACCAACAGGAATGTAAAAATTCTCCTTTATGCCCTGAGAGTTAAGAATGGAGGGAGAGGAAGGAGCATTCAACTCAATACATGAAATGAAAGTCTAGGTTCCCCACAGAGTCAAAAAAGTATTAGATAGCAACTCAGAATACTTGATGCCTATGTTTACATGGAAACAACTTATGACACAGACCTGGAGCTCTGTCTGGTATAGCAAGCACCATGACTCAAACCTGGCTCTAACTGCACAACAAATATGCATGAATGGTAGGTGATACTCCAGCAGAGTGATCCTCAGCTTTTGGATTTCTGAATCTCTCCTCCTGCCTGGACCCAGTGTATTTTACTGAGTTAAAGTCTGGTAATAGCTTCACTGCTCTCAGCTACATTTTGCACACCCCTCGAAGAGATTCACAATGAGTATATGAAACACAGGTTGAAAATCAAATAATGTTAATCCAATTTCCCACTCTCTTCATCTTCCCAAAGCCACTCTGAAAAATTTAGAGTCTGCAAAGCTGTGGCTGCAAAGCTGTGGCAGAAACACAGATTCAACAAAGGTCAAATTATGACTCTAGAGAGAAGTGAAAGCATCTGCATCTAAAAAAAAAGAATTGACTGGCATTATTCTCGCTGGGGGCAAGGAGAGGTGGAAAGAGCATTATTTGCTAACATTTAGCCACTGCCATTCTATTTCAGGCAACGAGCTAATCCAATTACTGTACTCTGAATAAGTGTTTCTACTCACAGCCTGTCTACTCTGTAAGTCCACAGAACTACATAGGTCAAGCTGGGGTCACAGCTGAAGTGCTTGACTCAGGTTTTAAGTGAGACAGCCTTATGTGCAGCCAAAAGCCAGCCTATGGCATTAATTAAGTTGTCTATCTAGACAATGCCAAAGCTTTCAGACCTTTTCTATGCAGACTCCATTAATATATGAGGAGCTCTTGCTCTTAAGTCAAGCATTTAGTTAGGTACCACAGATACTCCATGCTAGTTTACAGTGCTGAATGCCTCCTAACAAACAAGGGATGAAGTTTAAGATTTGGTTACAGAAATACATAAATATCATTATTGTTTACAGGTATCAACTCTAGATACAGCAAGGCGTTCTAATCCTTGTACAGATCATTACACCAAATGGTGCTCCACATATCCTTGAAGATTAAGGGCCAGTATTACTAAAATACAACTTTTCTATACTAAAACCAAATGTGCTGCTAAATAAAAAAAAAATTTCCATGTTTACTACTACTTCTCTCTGTAACTGAGTACAGATTCATTAGTAAAAGGACATACAGATAAAAGAAAATACAAAACTATTAATCTCATTTTTAACAGAGTTCTGTTGGATACATAAGCATGACCCCGTTTTAACTTACTCATCTGGATTCTTGCCTGTATTGGCATACGGGTTCTCCCTCATTGCTCTTGTTTTGGGATCATAATAAGCAGAGTTTGGATCTAGG